TACAAAAGGAGATTGTGTCTTTTTTCTTCCAAGTATGTTGCATGTATGTCTGAAGAAAAAAACAAACAGATTAATTTAGAGATGAAGACACGTGTGTTGACTAACGATGCTGATTAACCTCCTGACATTCTACCTTTTTATTTGAAAAAAAAGCCTAAAAAGAGAATACATACACATACTATATCTTCAGATTTAGTTCTTATTAGGGAATATATCTTTTAGTACGTTGGTAACGTTTTGCCAGTTTTCAGAAGGACTCTTTCTTCTATTTTCACACATTTTTGAACTGAAATCATCCAAAAAAAAAAAAAAAAAGATTAACAAACTTCTGATAAATCTAAGGATTGTTATTTGCAGCTGTATGTCACTTACTCAATAAAACTATATTTACTGAATAAAACCACACAAAAGAGGCTGAAAATGTCTGAAAATCTTAACTACAAAATGAGATTCATTCTTCAGTTTTCACCAAATAAGTTGCAGGTGTGTCTGAAAATAGAACCAAAGGGAATCATTTAGAGACGAAGGAACGTATGTGTTCACTGATCTCAACTTTTTTGTCCGTTTTCAAGGGTCAGTAATTAAAAACTTGGCCTCTGCTCTGCTCTCTTTGCTTTTAGCATCTGAAACCTGTTTTACTTGATTTGTTGGCCATGTTGTGCTTCAATAAACACAAGGATACAAACAGACCCCTATGAACATGGCTGTTTGTGTCCATGTCACACCTTTGTTGAGCCACAACAGCAACAACCTGGAACCTTGTCCGGCCACACATCAAACTCTACTTATTTTAGAAAATAAGCTGGTGAAATCTCAACCAAGGACTGTATTTTCTTTTGTAATAAATGTGTAAACAAAACTTTACATACACCTGTAAAGACCATGTGTATCATGGCAGTCTTGAGTTTAAATAAACAAACATTTTGGTTATTTTATAGGTTCAGATGGAAACATGACAAATCTGCTGGTTTAAAAATGTACATACAGCAGCGTGAATTAGGGGTTTTGGTGATGTAGAAAGTCGTGCTAATCAAAGCCAGTTCAAAGTCGTAACAGAATTCAATGAAGTTAGATTTAACAATAGTTATTTTAAGCTTATTGATTGTGTCGGGATCATAAAAACACAACTATAAAGGCAGCTACTTTGAATTATCAGAGTTTGAATCAACAACATTTTACTGTAAATGTAAAAATCCTGACAGATCTGGGTTTTGATCACAACATACAGGACATGTAAACATGCCAACGACTGCCAGGCTGACTTCTCATCCTTTCACAAAACAATATCGTGACAGAAAATCTCCACTGATTCTTCCTAGAGCAAGAGTCAGGACGAGTCTGTGTACAGGATCTACTTCAGACGGCCAAAAGCTACCTACTATGGTGTAAGCTGTCATTTTAGGACATGCAAATTTGGATTCTACATGCTAAAGTAGATATATTTGGATACCAAATCCAAGCTCTACGACAGAGGTTTCAAACTACCGGCCCGTGGGCCAATTGAGGCCCGTTAGACGATATTTTGTGGCCCCCTACTTGACACCAAACTTTAGTGTCAGTGCGGCCCACATGTTTTTCTCACATGCACCTACGTGAGTCGTTGCCCTGGGAGTTTTCTTTTTTTTTTTTTTAAATCTCTTGTGGGCTACCACAGCTCAGGCTCATGACAACAACACAAATTAACAACGATAGTCACTTGAAACGTGATTTGGGACTGTCACCGAGTGGAGGGAAAATACATCCTGTCATCCCGTAAAAATGCATGTTGTTGGTTTTGTTTTTTCTTCTATCTGTTTGAAACGCTCTTCTCCACCATGAACTCCAAACTTACTGATGAGCATCGTCAAGCCACACTGAGGGTCTCAGTTGCTTTCTCTCTCAAGCCAAATGTGGCTCAGCTGTGTCAGAAGAAGCGCTGCCAGGTCTCTGGCAGCAAGGAGTAGGTAAGAGGAGCCTATGTTCTGAAGAACCTTTCATGTTCAGAATTGTTATTAATAAAGATTAAGAAGATTGGATCAGTTGTACTTGAAACTCTTTTTTTGTGGAATACTTGATGCGGCCTAGCCTCACCCAGGCTTTACCTCCAGGTAAGTTGAGTTTGAGACCCCTGCTCTACGAGATCATTCTGTGTGAAGATATATGGGACTGCATATCAGAAACGGCGGCCATCTTGCAAACTGACAGCATTTTGAAAATTTTTGCAGCATTGTTTTGTAAAAAATGATCCCATGGTGGACACACAGGGCAGTTTTGGTGCTTTTATGACAAAATGAACATTTTTTTCTTTTCTACTTGACTATTGAGAGCAAGAAAACACTACATTTCTTGTTGTTGTTGACATAGTCGGCCCATAAAGCTGTACGTTGGTCGAACTCACCGCCGCGGTCTCCTTCTCCATCCCGGACACCGTCACGGCCTCGGCGAGCAGCGGCACAGACATGTTGTTGCCACACATACACTGTAAGAGGTGCTGAAATATAAAGAGAATACAGAGAAAGTGTCAAGCTGTATGCAGAAATTAAAAAAAGCTTCACTTTGTAGTTTTCAGGCCTGCATATTAAACACGAGACCTTCCACATGGCAGATTAAAACCGGTAAAGTCTCTTTGATTCCTGCGCCGGCTGAGAGTTCAGTCTGGAAACTAAGCAGCAATTTTCTGGATGATAGATGATTTTAATACGACAAATAGATAGCAAACAGCCTCATTTGCTGCTAATGCATTTGCCCCGAAGCCGTTTCATTAAATTAGATTAAATCGGTTCAATCAGATCAGATTAAATCCAGATGAGACGCTAATTTTTAAAAATGTTTTCCAACAAGTCGCGCGAGCTGCAGCTGATTACTGGAGCTTGTTGTTGGTGTTCAGAGCCACAACATTGCTTTAACAACCTCCAGAACTGTTTAGGAAATTAAAAATCCTTTATTCTACACTGTATACAATAAAATAGATTCCTTTCAAACATGTAATAATTAAACATTGTCCGAGAGAGGAACAAGAACTGAACATCAATTAGAGAAAAGACGCTGAAGAACAAAAGTCAACGTTAATATGATTTTAACAGGAGTTCGTTCATTAATAATACAACAATTTAGACAAATTTCATATATTGTTGGAGTGTGGCTGCAACTAACAAGTACTCTCATTTGTTAAGTTCATAAAAGGGCAGTTTGCACTTTCTCCAAACCCACGGTGATGCCTTCAGTGGCTTGTTTTGGCCAACAAACCTAAATAATTTATAGTTTTTGTCATGTAAAATATAGAAAAGCTGCAAATCCTCACACTCAGTATTGCACACACATGAAATCTGAGGGTGTTTGGTATTTTTTTTATTATTATTTTTTTTTTTACAATTACTGGTCAATTTTGAGATTTTGGTTCCATGTTTAATTTTAGAGAAATCAAAAGAAAACGTCCAAAATTCACATTCAGTTTGTCTTTCATCTTTATCCAACGTTCAGATTTCAGAAAACTTGTCATACAAAAAGAAATTGTCTTATAAAATAATAACGATGCCCTCCTACGTTCACAAAGACTCGTGATATTTTGACATTTCATTTTCTGTTCACTGACTAATTGATCCATGACTAATAGTTGCAGCTCTTCATTATAACTGCTAATTATATAATTGTAGGAAATTCTCTTTAAAGCACAGTAACATCAATATGTTCTGTAGAGCTGCAAGATACCATTTCTGCATTAACATTAAAGTGCGACGTGAAGTAAGCAAACACATGAAACCACAAACGTTTCTGCTGCTTCCTACAAAAAGAAAACTTACAGTTTTCATTTTTTTAATGACTAATCTACAAGAGAAGTCTGTTTCATGGACAACTGGACAATTTACTCTGATTAAACTTGTTTTACTTTATTCACAAAACAGAGTTTGTTGGCACGCAGGCGCCACAATAAAAAAGGCCAGAACGAACAACTCGTTTGAGCATTTAAATCAGCAGCACAAAGCTGCATGACGAGTGCAGAGGCAGATCTGGACGCCGTCCAAAGCAGAAAACTATTTTGGATGCCTCTGCCAGCGTTACGCTGAAAGAGAGACGTTCCAAACGGCTTTTCTTCTAAATAATTTTTCATTTTCTATGCAGATGCACTCCCCTACAAAATCACTGCGGTCATTTAGGATGATTCATTCTCTCTAAACAGTCATGCAGTCCTTGTGTTGCATTTTGTTTTTAGATTAAAAAAAAAATAAAAAAATGTATTGACTGTATAATCCAGCCTCAGTTCATCAGGGGCCTCCTGCTCCACCAGCTCTGATTTGCTTGAAAGTTTTATAGCATTACAGGTGGATATTTATTCAGATATATGTGAATTTTAGTTTTTTTTTGTAAATGATCTGTCATCTAGCGTTCAGGAGGTTTATTTTGCACATTGAAATTTGATCTCAGGAACTATTGAAGATAAAATCCCAGAATGTTTTCCTGTTTTTTCTGATCATGACATTAATTCAGAATCTGCAATATTAGACAAATAAATCAAATAATCTCTGATTATGGGTGAGTTGAAATACTTTTTAAAAATGAAGCCATCATGAAAAATCCCATCTCTGAGCAGAAATTAACAGAAAAACTGGTAACAGCAGAAATCTAGGAGTGATATTTTCTGATCCATGTAGCTGCATGTTAAAACAACACAAAACTAAACATCCCGAATATTTTTAATGTAAAATGATTGGTCACAAAAATGATACTATGATAGAAATGGTATATTGGTTGAATTTGTTTATAATCCCAAACTATAATCTGAGATTATTTCATCTATTTGTCCAATATTGCAGATTCTGGATCAATGATAGGATGAGAAAAAAAAACTGTGAGAAATTCAGCGTTTTATCTTTAATAGTTCCTGAGATGTTGTTTCAAACGGTCTCAGATTTGAATGTGTCAATGAAAGTGCTGAAAGCGGGTTTACATGGAAATTTTAAGATTTTCTACCTCTGAAAGTACCTGACATATCAAGCTAAAAACCTCCATAAATATCCATGTTTCATGCGATAAAATTTTCAGGCAAATCAGAGATAGTTGGGAAGAAATTGTTCTAAAAATCTGATAATTTGAAATGGATTGAGCCATGTTGACATTATTCATAATCCCCACCCATAATCAGGGATTATTTGACCTTCTTGTCTGGTACTGCAGATTCTCAATTGTTGACATGATGAGAAATAACAGAGAAAATTTCAGGTTCTTATTCTGAGTAGTTGCTGAGATATTTCTGGTTTAAACACAACCAAAAAATAATAATTTTAAGTGTCAGAAAGTATTTGATATATCAAGCTAAAACTTCACAGATGCCATTTTAAATATCCATAGTTTATAATGGAAAAGTCCATCAGAGACGGTCGAGCAGAAATCTTTATGAAACATGTGGTGCTTTGAGATAGAATGACCCTAAAGATTAAAAAGCTCATTACAGCCCTCTTCCTCCAAACCCCAGTGCAGCTCACCAGAAGTCCTAAAAAGAGCAGCGCTTATTATAAAACGGGACTCTGCAGACACATGTGCGCTGATCTTTGCATGTAGTTCAGGAAGCCTGAGCGTGTTTTTGACATCGGCGCTGACAATGAGCAGCTCTGTCCAGCCGAGGCTGCTTATCAGTGCAGCCATTCAGCCGCCAGACAGCGACAACAAAGCTGGACATACCGCTCATACACACCAACGCATAATGCAGCTGCTGGACCTCAAACAGCGGTCACGAGGCCGTAATGTGTTTGTGTCGGGCAGGTTTCTGTAGTCAGCAAGTGACGGGACTCATTAACTAAATGAAACACACTCCCCTGTCTTTACTGTAAAGCCGGCGTGAGTCAGCCGTCGATAACAGGCATGACATCAGGTTGTTGTTCTACAGCAGTAAAAGCTCTTAACGGCCTTTAACTTTCCCATGATGCGGGACACGGTGACTAAAACTCGGCACAGGTGGGTCGGACGGCGCCGATGAGTAAACAGGCGATGAGGAGACGCTCCGAGAGGTTAATGTGTAAACCTGCAGCCGGTTTCACTCCACGGGTGTTAAAATTCCACGGCTGATGTTTGTTCTTCGGCGAGTGACAAATTACCGTCTGAAGGTCATTTCTGCAGCCAAAATAGGTGAAAAGTGGGCGTTAATGTGAGATTTAAGAGTCCAAAGTGTGGACCAAAGACGGCTGTTTGTGCTCGGCATCCCGACCCCTGATAAATGAGTAATATCTGAATAGTAAATGGTGAAGGTCAAGCAGGAGGAAACGGCATTTCAGTCGTAAACACTGTTTTGGGGGATCAAATTAAGCTGTCAGAAAGAAAACGTCCACATTAGGAGAATTTTCATCGTTGATAAAGTATTTTCTCCATTAATCAGTCATTTGTTTGGTCTATAAAATGGTACAAATCAGTTTCACAAAGCACAAAAACAGATTCTGAAATGTTTTGGTTTGTCCTTATCCAAAGATGTTCAGTTTACTGTAATAGAGGAGGAAAGAAATCAGAAAATATTCACATTTAAGAAGCTGCAATTAGAGAATTCAGAGTTTTTCTGCTTTAAAAAAGTTCATTAACTGGATTTACCAGCTGCAGGTCTAGTCCACATCTCTGGTTTTAGTGGCAGAATGGAACCGACCACTTTCATCCCATTTATTGAACATTTAAGCTTCACTCTACCAGGTTTTAGAGGGAAACGTTGCACATTTTTACTCCACCACATAGATTTGACAGATATAGTAATGATTTACTTTGCATATTCTGATTTTTACACGAAAAAAACGAATGACATGCTTGAAAAAATATACATTATTAACGATTAAAGGAGTTTAACTTCTTTGAATGTGACGCGTTACACCCTAGAGACATTCATCATGTCTGTGATGCAAAAAGGGCATTTCTGCTATAAACTTCTCACTTGGTTATATTTATATAGCCACTTGGGGCTCAAAGATGGAAATTGAATCGACATTTATTTCTAAAATAAAAAATGCACAGCTCTATTCTCCATTTTGACAAAGTAAAGCTACTTTATTGATCCATGAGTCTAAATATCAATGTAAATTACTATTACATCATTTAGTTGCTGCTTTTCTGCAGAACAAGCATTTTCAACTCAAATGTATAAGACAAGGAACCTTTTAAAACATGATTATCTACCAGTTACTGACAAATAACTGTTTAAATTCACCAAACGCTCAGCAGTAAATAATTGTTTTGTGTCCGCTTTCCTGTTTTACCAGAATTTGGCTGCGAGCTGGCGCCAATTTCCCATCGTGTTTAAATAGATTTAGCTGATAACACTCCTGAGCCACTGGCACGTTAACTGAAGTGAAAGATTTGAGCATTTCCTCCACTGCTGAACATTTTTCTACCAAACATTTTAAGATTTACCGTCGCAGAGTTGTAAATTAGCGTTAAAACCTTTCTTAACAATAACATTTGGCTGCACTCTGGCCTTTTGAAAGAACAGACAGAGATAAAGTGAATGAAAGCAGACGACATGAATGCAGAAGTGAAAGAAAAAAAGAGATAAAGAGAAAAAAAAAAAAAAGATAAGAAGGATGGTGGAAAGCAGGAACGCTGGACAATCTGTTCGAACAAGTAGGACACGCTCTCCGAACACGGCGGCGTATGCAAAAAGGAAGTTAATCACTTATACATCGTGTGGTTTTTTTTCACACCTGTTTGTGTTCAGCAGCATCACAGTGACCCACAACCCAGAGAATGAAACGCTGTGTGGGTTTTCAGTTCACTCTAAGAAACAATGGCTCACTCTCTACACTTCTGGAGGAGGACGCTGGTTAAAAATAGTGTCGCGCTGTGTGAAGGCATCGAGTCCGATTCAGGTTGGGTCTTAAAAAAAAAAAAAAAGCCCCACAAGAAACAGAAAGTAACTTTACTTCATCTATTCCTTGCTGCAGAGTCTATCTGAATAAATCTCTAGTCAGTTTCCTCAATAAACTGCTTAATTAACACAACCTTTATGTTTAAGATTATTTGGTTTTTAAAGGGCATTAATTAGAACGCCTACAGCTGACTGAGGTTATCATGAATTATTAGTCAAAAAATAGTAAATTAACGTAAATCTTGAATTCCCAAAGCTCAAGCTGACATCTTCATGCTCTTCATGTTGTTCATTTTATCCAATAATAACTCTAAAACGTAATTTAAAAGCATATTTACCAGAAGGAAAATGCCAAACTGTCAGATCTGAGGAAACATTTCAGTTTAAAAAATTAGTTCAAAGACAAACAAAACAGCTCATGATTAATCCGTCAATTACCAGATTCATCTACAAATCATGTCTGCTCTAAATCAGTTCTGTCCTTTCTTTTCCCTTCTTTTACATGAATGCACATGTTGTCACTGCAGGTTTTAAACAGTTAAAAGGCTTCTCGTGTGCAGCACAGTGGGGGAGGAACGAGAAACAACACTAGAAAGGGAGATTAAATTGCAAAATGAAACGTCAGTTGTTTGGAAATATTTCGGCTACAAAAAGGACAATGTCGTCTAAAGACGGTTACTCTGTTGTCTTGCAAATATTTCTACTGCATGAGGCAACACAACTAATTTGTTTGACCAGTTTACCACAGAGCTCTGGAAGACGAGTGCAAAACCAGACCTGAATGTTGTCCAAAGCAAAAAAACTATCCCGGATCTTTGCCAGTGTTGGACCATATGTGAGAGTCCCAAACAGTCTTTTCAGCTTTTCACAAACTGCTTTTTATTTTTATTTGCGATGCTCTCCTAACAAAAGCACCCCAATTATTCTAGAACGATTCTTTTTTTTATTTTTCCAAATACTGTTACTGAGGTCAGCTGGTGAAAATTCTCATATTTTTTTCATATCGCAGATATGCAAAATATCGCAATGTCATTTTTTTTCCCATTATTGTGCAGCCCCAGTTTACAGACATAGATTTCCAGATATCAAATCTTGTGATATAGTTAAGTGAGACTTATTTAATTATGACTGAGCAGTAGGAAAAGTCATGTCTCAGCTGCTGTCAGATGACTGTGTAATGACGTTAAGTCAACAGCAGCTGCTTTTAGGAATTAAACTAGAGCCGGGAGACAAAAAGACAGTGATGCCTACTGCCCATAAACACTTCATCGATATCAATTAGAAAATTGTTTGATCGATTAATGGAATTTCAAAGCATCTCCCTCCCTGGCTTATAAACAGCCAATCATGTTGCTTGATAACTGAGCCCTGATCACTCTCCCTGTGCAGGTCTCCTGAGGTGCGCTAGTCTGCGGTCGGGCTTTTTGTCTCCTCTGTCTGCACCCACAAACCTGTCCAGTTGGAGGCTACGGCTGCCCTTGAAAGACAGACTTGACAATCAAAAAACATCCATGCAACCTTAACCTCGAGGTGGTAGGACAGCTACCTCCAAGTTTTACTTGTTGTTTTTCTACATATGCAGTATTTTCCTCATTCAGAGCAATCTGTCCAACATCTGAAATTCCACATGTGGAAGAATCTGAACCAAATATCAACAGTGGTGATGTCGATTTTTATTTTTCTACCTTTGTCCCTACTTTTCTGCACTATCCCCTTTGCTGCTGCAAATTTCCCTGCTGTGGGATTAATAAAGGATTATCCTTTTTTATCTTACTCGCTTGCTTCCACTGATGCACATTACATTAAGGAGATAAGTTAAACCCAGGGGTGTCCTTCGGTTTTCACTCGTTTTCTTAATTTAATGTGCATCAATGTGACGATGATTCATTTTTTCTTATGTGTAAATTTATTTATTTATTTATTTTTCATCGCATTAATGAGTAGCTAGAGTGGTGAACCTTCAAATATTGTCGCCCTTATTAAAAAAAAAAATAGCCTTGAGGCGATGAATAGTCATCGACGTGGATTAAAATAACATCCATTGTGAAACTTTTCTGCCCAGCCCTAAATGAAAACACAGAAAAAGCCGCCCGTGTTGCAGCAACTTAAAGCACATCACGAGTCTCCATCCTGCGTGACTCCAATTGCATTCAAGTCAAACAGTGAAACAGAGGCTTGCTGCTGCAGACACACAACCGGCAGGCTGCTGCTGCTGCAGACTGCTCTCTGCTCAGCGGCCACGGATGGCTGGCAAACAACAGGGTAATATGCGGCACTGAGTGACAGGCATCCCCCCTCCTCCCCACCTCAACCTCCAGCAGCAGCAGCTAACCCTCCTCCCCGCCTGCTGCAGCTAGCCAGCTAGCCGACACCAAGCACACCGCAGTCAGAAGCGATTTTAAAGCCACTTATGTTAGCAAATAAACCGAGCGAGCACCGTTAGCAGAGTCGGAGGAAGCGGGCGGTGCGGGTGTCGAGGCGGACAATGAATGGCTTAGCAATGATACGCGACTCATCCTCAGTAGTGATGGCATTCAGCGGAGCAAAGCCTCTGCTGCCCCAAAAAGACAGACGGACCGACTCTCCGGTTTAATCCCGGTTTAGCTGGCACACATCTACACAATAACCCGGGCTAGTGCTGCTGCAGCTGCTGCTAGCTAATGTCGTACACACATTAATTGCATTGTCTTCTGCCGGTGTCCCTCTTCGTCTACCTCGGGGTGCCGCTACGGTTCAGATTTTGGCCTCAAACCCCGGCAGTTTTTTACAAGAGCCCTTAAGCACCTAAACGACCCGATAAGGCTCGGTTCGGACCGGCATAAAGTGCTTAAATTGACCCCCGCGGCCCGCTAGCTAACACGGATTCATACACTCACCGCTTGCTGTCCCAGTTCACGACGGAGCGGAACTTCCGCTACTGGCCGCTCACAGGCAAGGGGCGGGGCCAGTCGTGACGCAATGACGTCACGGCTAAGCAACGCCCTGCGCCAGGACGTCTTCGCCAAGCAACGCCCTCCTCTGGGTCACGAGCTGCCTGTTTCAGGTTTATTTCAATATTATTTAGTATTTTCGCTTAATTTAAGCACAAATATGACGTTTTAAACTAAGGTGCCCTCAGACTGAGTCCAGTAATATTTCACATTTTTCTTACACTCAACAAATTCCTTGATTTGAAATGAGCAAAAGACTTGATTGTAGTAAATCTAATAGAATTTGCTGGTTATCATTGTCTTCTAGATCTGAGAAGTTTGAAATCATTAAATCAAATTGATTAAAGTATTCCATTATTATACTACTATATTTATCACATTTGAAGACGAAGCACAGCCTCAACAGTTATGCGGTGACTCTTCCTTCTCGTTGCAGACGTCCTTCCTTCTGTCTTTGTGGCTCAACTATGAGTCTGTGTTTGGTCTGGATCTGTCTCGGCTGTGTGTGTCTGACAGCAAAAAGATTTTCTGATCATTTATATTAACGGTTTATGGACAGATAGGAGTACATTTTGAGTCTTGGTTTAATTTCTCTAATGTTCCAGAGAAGCATCTGCTGTTGACATAAGTTCAAAATCTTGTCAAGTTTATTCCTTTGCGCTGCAGACCTTATCTGTTACATACTAAATGTTAAAAACACACCGGTAAGCCTAAAACCTACTTTATATTTCTATTTGAGTCATTATTATTAAACACCACAGTCACCAGCGATGTGAGGAAATCACTTTAGTCCTAAACTTAAATTCTTATTCATGACCCATTTGGAAAGATTTGTTTTCAGTGGGAGTGAACTGACTTAAGGCTGAGTGCCACAGACAGACCAGAGAATTGAAGTAATGAAAGCTGGACTAATGTATTGTTTTCATTACAATTGGTGGCAATAACTAAAATATACAATATTGCCAGCCTTAATCTTTAATTCTTGCATTTAAACATACATTTTTGCTCTTTCATAGACGATGCAAAACCCTAAAGAACTGCACTCAGTCCTGGTTTAAAACAATCAACGTTTGTTCAAATATTTGTTCAACAGCTGTACAAATCACAAAATTAATTAAATCCATGTTTTAAACTTTCTTGGCATTTTGTGAATTACTGTAAATTGTTTTATTCTGTAAATTCTTTATTTTCAAAATATGTTGAAGCGGTAAATCTTGTAGAAGCTTTATAACGAAACAAAAACTGCAAAATATCTACCTGATGATCAACAATAAAGTCGATGAAAACATCAGAGCATTTTAGAAATCAAACAAGTTAGTTCTCTATTATTTTATTGTTTTTCATATACATATTCCAGTTCTTCACCAAAAATCACACACCTTAAAACATTCCAAATGTCTTCCACATTCAGCGACACAATCCTGTAAATGACTCAGAGTGACTGACGACAAACTGCATTTATAACAGAGTGAAATCAAGAATGACATAATGCCTTCAGAAAAAAAAAGGAACGTATGGAAGAGATGCAAACTTTTTAATGAGGTTATAGCAAAATGTATTTGTTTAAAAGCTCTGGAAAAAGGCAAAGTCGGATGTTTATGTACTATTAAGGAGCTCACGGCTGGTTTATATCTGCTGTAAATAAAACACCGCAGCTTGTCTCCACTAACCCTCCTTTCACTCAGATTACAAATATTGTACGTAAATAACTGGGTTAAACCACCAAGCGGCTGTTGGGAATTCATCTCATCACAGAGATAAAATAAAAAACAAAGCAGTCACAAAATGATCCACTAGGTGGCAGAAAAGAACCAGCAGCATTTAGCAGACAATCTTTTGTTTTTACAAAAGGAAAATGATGCAGCACGGGTGTTGGATTTATATTTTTGAAGCATTTGACAATCACTCAAGTAGCATAAACGGCATAGAATCTGTATTTATGCATGTTTTCTGTGTACTGAAGCAGTTACTCAAGCATAATAAGTTTCTTTATTGATTTTATTTAAATGATATTTTTGCAATGTGCGCCGCTAATTTTGAACACAACCAAAGTTTGTCATTAATCAAAAAGTGGTATTGTGTGGTTTCCATGAATGTTTGAGTTAACTCTCTGAACCTCTGAACTCCCAGCAGTTTCTGGCAGATGTTTTTTTTTTTTCCAGGCACATTTTTGCTCATTGTGGACTGATTTTTCACTGCAATATAAAGTCCTGCACCGCTACGGAAACAGAACAACCATGACTAGAAGGAGAGAGAATTATGAAATGTCTTTTGTGTATCTTAACAAAATTATAAAGCAAAAATCCCCAAAACAGGAAAAAAACAAACAAACATTTCTTTCTTTATTTTTACAAAAATTGAAAAATAAAATGAATCAACAATTTTACTAGTGCCCATATGTGTTATCAATCCTGGGGAAAAATTATGGTTCTACATACTATAGATATTTTACTGCTTATATGATATTTCATTAGTTTTCATACTTTCTATCTGCTTTGTGTAAATACAGCCTGTAGTTCAATCAAAAAGTCCTTTCGTCTTTGTTATGTGACCATTGGTTGTAGCCGAGTCAGTAATTTTCCTCATGTCGCACTGAGGAGCGCAGAATTTTTAGTTTTTGACAGAATCTGGTTCAAGCAAACAGTTTATTTTTGCCAATTTTTTTAAATGAGACATGTAGGATACAGCAATTTTGATAAAACATCTCAATTTGCAGTTAGTTACGTTTCCACACATCAAAGTGAGTAGTTCAAGGGCTGAAAGAAAGTTGAAAAGCCAACTTTTCTTCATGTTTTTAAAGTTTCTAGCTGATAATTTAGACACTACCTTGAACACAACACACCTTTCAAACCTGCCGGCTGGTTTTGGGGTTCAGACGGTTGAGAGCCACTGTATTTTGAAGTGATGTGTATCTTTACTTCACAGATTAAACTGAGAACAGCAGAATTTGTCTGAGGGTCAAATGTGTCATGCATTTATTATGAAGCCCACATTAAGCCTTCACGCTTTATTGCCACAGAGAGACAGCTCTGCACTTCCATCAACCTGAAGCTCTCTGCTCTTCAGATTTCAGCGCTTCGTCTCAGTCGACCAACCTGCCGTTCGCAGCGTTGAACTGAATCTTTCTGACAGTCAGCAGACGCCAGTGAAACCTCTCCTCGTCCTCCTCTTCCTCCTCCCGACTCTGTGCAGCTCTCAGGAGATGAAGTTGGTTTGCGGGATGATGCTCTCCACTTTGTGATCTGCAGGGTTTGCCGACGCCTCGTAGTTGCAGATCGTCACTTCATGTCGGTGCGCCTGAAGAGGATAAAGAGGAAGACGGGTTAACTGGCAGCAAGGACGAGAGATTTCTGGGTCTTTTTAGCTCCCGTCACATTTTTACTCACTGTGGGCTCATTTTAACTGCAGTATATAAAGTCCTGCACCTCTGTAGAAACAGCACAACCATGACTAGAAGGAGAGAGAACTTAAACATGTCTTCTGTGCAGAATGACAGTTATGATGCCATCAATCATTTAAAAAAAAAAAAAAAAGAAAAAGTTGAATTTCACTGATTTTGTATTTTAGAAAAAAAAATTACCAATTGTGCAAAACTAGGAAAAAGAGAGACTCCACATAATGTAGATATTTTCATTTCTTTCCACACACGTCTGCTAAAACACGGCCTGCAGTTCAACCGAGACGTGATGTTTCATTGCAGCTGAGTGAATAACTGCGACTCAGTTGTTCTGAGGAATGCAGAATGTTTTGTTTTTTACAAAATCTGGAGTAAACAGTTTCTTTTGAGTGATATTTAAAATCACACATGTAAAATAATCAATAATAACAAATGATTTTCATGAAATATTAGAAATAAAAGCTTAGAATGAGCTAGCTTTTCGATGGAGCGGTATGTTGCACATTAGTGCTTTAAGGACCATCAGAAAGTTGAAAAGTCTGCGATTATTTTGATTTTTACAGTTTCTGGCTCTTGTAAACGATGTATTTTTGGAGATTTTTAAAACGCAACAAGGCTATACAATCTGTCAGCAGGTTTTGGGCGACAGAAGCTTAAAGCTGTGGACCGTATTTAAAGATGGATGACTGCCTGGAGTTGACGTTAACATAATGTGGCCATGTTGAGCTGGTGGAGGTATCGAGGTCTTGCTTTCTGCCTCAGAGCACAACCGATTTATGGAAAAAAACAAAACATTGATATGTAGCTAGTTAGTTTGATAACTATCATCTACAAATCATTTCCCCTCTTAATGCACAGCAGCACCTGTTTCTGATATATATAGGATTCATTATTATACTGTGGGAAGAAGTGTCGATAAGTCAATAAACCAGTTTGTAATTCAGACTTAATAAACATACAGAAAGGCAGAGCTGAGGAGAAGAAACAGCCGGTTATATACAGTGGATGATGTAGCTGCACACGGCTGAAATGAGAAGCTTCTGTCGTTCTGATGATGCACGGATACGATCCATCCACTAAATCATGCAAGATGACAGTAAGTATTCTTTAAAACCACAAAGAATCGTCCCATATGGTTGAAAAGACTGAACTGTGAGTCTCAGCGTCAGAAGTACAGACTTTGTAAAGAGCTTTCACAGCTGTTGCGTTGCATCAACAGACAAACTAAGGAGTGAGACGGCAGCTTCAGAAAGAAGCCAAATATTTGAGGAAAGAATTCGCTGCCCTGAGGATGAAACACGAGGCAAAATAAAATCTCCTGTCGGTATATTTACGACCGTGCAGCCCAACGAAGCATTGACCTGAACACAGTGTTTGTTTATCAGGACGGATTCCTGGAAACAGTCAAGACTGAATTCCTGCATGAAGGAGCAAGATGAAGATTAATAACATCACTAATGAAGGTAATGGAAGGAAAGTATATGCAACTGCTGCCAGTTTATTACCTACAGCTCGCTTAAAGTAATGCTGTCTAATATTACAGTCCTGCAAAGGGTTTAAACTGGATTCTTCTTGATGCTACAGTTTGTGCTGCTGACAGATGTT